TGTTTACTTCTAGGAAAACAGTACGTTGTTGGTTATTTGCCAAACAAAAACACTAAATGACCAATTTATTTTATTCTGTCCGCACATGATGACCGACCAGATAAAACACACACAGTTTTCATTTAAATTAAGTACTATTCAAAAAGCATGTGAGAAAAAGAACACAAAACATGTTCTTGGCTTCACTGTGTGTCTGGCTACGAGAATGAGTTTCACGTGTTAGCAATGTGTATCATTTCAATATTTAGAAAAAGTTTTTGGACTTGGCTGCAACAAAACTACCGAAGAAAAGAAAGAGAGATGTTGATTTGGAAGAATCAGGTCAGAGAAAAATTCTCTGGTTTTCAATGAAAAACTTAATATTTTACTGTTTTTACAATAAGCTGCATGCCGTGGTTTGTGTCTGAACTAGCTGAACAAGATAACTCAAATGTGGGGATCCAGTGTAGGTAGTATTCTAGGTAGTAGGTAGTAGGCAGGACCGTAGGTTCAATTCCTACCAGAGGACCTTCGACCTTGTGCTGCATTTTTCGCAGTTGTATATATATATACTCACTTGGATTACAAACCCTAAAAACAGCATTCTAATATTACTTCCATCAAGTGAAGTGCAAGAAACAAGATCATTGAAGTCCACCTATTCTACACCAAGCTGCCTTGGTTTGTGTCTGAACTACCAAAACAAGATATCTATAATGTTGGTGATCCAGTGTAGATATTACTCTACAATAGGCTGCATGCTATGGTTTGTGTCTGAACTACCTGAAGTTTAAAAAGACTGTTCTTCAATAGTTTAGTGAACGTCCAAGTGCTCTAGTCTTTCTCATATGCATTTATCAATACGTTTCATTTCTCTCAGATGTATCCTCGCCGTACGTACTTCGTCATGCTGGTGTCCTGGGTCTCTCTAGTTGTATCAAAGCTTTCCCTTACGACGTTCCTGATTGGATGCCGCAAATGTTGGTGGAGATTGGAGAACATTTACACGATCCTAATCCTATACAGGTACGAGGAGGAAACATAAACTGAACTAACTTTATTTATACTAGGTAGCTCTATCAGTTCTAAACTATCTCCCTAGAGGTCCAGTAAGGACCACACCTCATATTGGTGCAGTGTTACTTCAATATTTATGATAGCTCTATCAGTTCTAAACTGTTCTCCATAGAAGTTCAGTAAGGATCATCCCTTATTGATCCAGTGTTACTACAGAAAGAAACCTAAACTAAACTAACTTTTTTTTTATTTTTGTTCTAAACTGTTCTCGCTAGTGATCCAGTAAGGATCATTACTTACTGCTCCAGTGTCACTTCAAGAGGATACCTAAACTAAACCTAACTTTGACTAAACTAACTTCATTTATACTAGATAGCTTTATCAGTTCTAAACCGTACTTCCCAGAGGACCAGTAAGGACCACCTCTTTTTGGTGCAGTGTTACTTCAGGAGGAAACTGAAACTGACTTTATTTATACTGGATAGCACTATCAGTTCTAAACTTTACTCCTTAGAGGTCCAGTAAGAACCATCTCTTATTGCTCCAGTGTTACTTCAGGAGGAAACTGAAACTGACTTTATTTATACTGGATAGCTCTATCAGTTCTAAACTGTTCTACCTAGAGATGCAGTAATTGTCATCATTTATTGCTCTGGTATTGCTACAGGAGGAAATCGAAACTGAACTAACTTAATTATACTAGATAGCTCCATCAGTTCTAAACTGTTCTCTCTATAGAGTTCCAGTGAGGCCATCCTTTATTCGTCAAGTGTTACTGCAGAAAAATATCCAAACTGAACTGATTTATGCTGGCTAGCTCTACAGTAAAAACTCACATAAAATAACAATTACTACCATACCTAAATTGGATATTAAGGAACCCAGTAACTGATAATTGTCCTAATTTGTCTTTGTGATTATTTTAGGCGACTGTGAAAAAAGTTTTATCAGATTTTCGTCGAACTCATCATGATAACTGGACATCGCATAAACAGCAATTTAGTGAAGAACAATTGTTGATATTTACAGATCTACTCGTATCACCATGTTACTATGCCTGAGATGAAGGTTTGCCTGGATTTTTGGTGAGTAGATTGTAGGTGTCACGCTGTTGGGAGAAGTCGCGGTCATAGAAAAGCATAGTCCGAAGAAAAGCCATTCGGTAGCTTTCTAATTTGACATGTAAATAAAAAAGTGAAGGAGATTTGCACGATGAGATGTGTCACGCATCGCCCTCTGTTAGGAGAAGTGAGATGAAGGGGAAGCCATTATAGCTTTCTGACGGAGATGGCATACGCAGATCCTTAGAATGTGTCACAGCTCAGCTTATAACAACTGAAGTAAAGTGTAAGCAGACATGCACATGCGTATAGTTAACTGCGCATGCACAAGCAAAGATAGGAGGAAGATGAAAGGCTGTTCCCCATTACGATCTCTTTGTCTGCGCGGGACGGCGAAGCAATTTTGACCATGTTTCTAAGCTTGAAATTCAGGCTGCACACGTGAAAACGCACAAGTTGTTACAGGTCTGCAAACAAGTTGTTACAAATCTGTTCACAAGCTGTCGACAAGTTGTGTTCGCACTGCTTGTTCCCAGTTGTTGTAACAAGTTTGGAACAAGCTGTGAACAACTTGTAACAAGCTTGATGGCATTATCAGACTTGTTACAAGGTTGTTGATACAAGGTTGTAACAATATTGTTATATCATGACCGTATCGGACTTGTTGGAACAACCTTGCAACAAGTCTGATAATATCAACAAGGTTGTTACACGTTGTTAACAGCTTGTTACAAACTTGTTGACAAGTTGGGACAAGCAGTGCGAAGACAACTTGTTGACGGCTTGTTGGCAGACTTGCTACAAGATGTGAGCGTTTTGCGTGTGTAGACGTGCCTATTGACTATTCACGTGACTTATTTACTATTCACGTGATCGTAATGGAAAGCAGTCTTTTGAATCAGCACGACCAGGCACAGTGGACGGCAAACAAGACGTGGAAATTCGTTGTTGACGTCATGAATCTTAGTCTCAATTCCGAATGGGACATAGACACTGCCAGGCCAAAGAACAAACATTTATACTTAGTTAGCAAACAATAATTTAAATGTCCTATTATTAAATATAAATTGAATGAAGACTATACTGAAATGTTCTGCAGGGCTGTGCGTAGCCTGCGAACAGGCTCTTTGAATCTAATTCAATTCAAAGAGCCTGTTCGCAGGCTAGGCCGTGCGCGGGATTTTTTCACCAGGACTCAGTAATACCTGTATGCTGAAATAATTACCCAAATGTCAATGCATTCAAAGCCATATCAGTTAGATGCATGATGCTTATGGCTGCCCTATACAGAATCATGCAGTCTGACTCACAAGATTATAAGCGCCATTTGATTTAACCCTCCCTCCCCCGCCCCCACACACACACCGGCTGCGTATGGCCCTGTTGTTGTGAATGATTATCTCGACGTTTTCCCGAGGGCATGGAAGTTCTCATATACAGCACATCTTCAATGCCAGAAATCTGATAGCTACAGGGCCATACACAGGGTAACTGGGGGGGGGGGGGGGGGG